AATCACACTCTGTCACAAGTTACCTCAAATAAGCCAAGGGCTTATCAGCACTACTGAGTGGGTGTGTGCCATTGTGCTTTCAAAAGAATTTTTTTCCGGCCTGGCAAAAAGTACCAGTTTTTCTAGCTAATCAGCCTTTTGAGTTTTGGGGCTTGTAAATTCAGAAGCTACATTCGAAATCTAAGTGGTGTTCTGGTGTGTGTTTGGGATTATTTTTATTTCCCAAAAATTAAAGTTCCCTACTCTTCATAACTGGTGGAACAGCATTGGAATATTTATTATCGAATAATAAATAATTTCCCACAAATAAATATCCCACCCCACTATATTTGTCTTCTCCATGGCTCCAAATGATAAAAGTGTCATCCACAAATCTGAACCATATAATTGGCTTTTTATTGCTGTTTCCAGGGCTTATTGTTCAAAATGTTCTGTGTAGAAAACTGGACTGAGAGGGCTCTCCATGGCTACTCCTTCTTTCTGTTCATAGAATTCATTATCTCACTGAATGTAGCTTGTGAAACAGGGCTGTGATGTCTTCTGGGAAAATCTGGTTGATTAGTGTGATGGTGTCTGCTACCAGAACCTTGGTAAATAGAGACACATCAAAGCTGATCTGTAGGTCATTGGTGTTGAGCTTGAGGTTGCTGATTTTTTCCATGAAGTGGGCTGAGTCCTTGATGTAGTGCAAAGTGAGTGCAATATGGCTTTGAAACTCTGCAGCCAGAAATTTTGCCAAGTCATATTTGGGAGATCCAATAACACTCACAATGGATCTGAAAAAGATGGAGTCCTTATGGATTTTTGGGAGTCCATAAAGCCTAGGTGGAAGGACTTCCAATCTGCACAGTTGTTGCCATATGCTGAGGTTAATCAAGGAGTTCTTGGTCAAAGGCTCGGTTTTTCTGGTGACTTTGTTGGTTGGGTCTTGTTTTAATTTTCAGTATGTTGTGGGTTCAATTTATGTTGTGGGGTCCATATTGTAAGATGCATTCTTGCAATGATTGCATTAATGTTCTATCTTGATAGCCGTTAAGCATGATCACATCAAGAGTACATTTTTCATGATAGTTGTGAACACTTCTCCATGCAACCAAAGGTACACAAAAAGGCAAACGTGAATTGACTGTACTATTCTTCTGCTAAAAAAAAAATGTTCTGTGTAAATCAATAAACATAAGTACAACTGTAAATATCACATTAGAATTGCAGTTCCTGGCAATTGCATAGAGTGATACTTATGTCTTGGTAAACTTGCCCAGAATCATGCTGTATTATTTCTTCCTTTCACTGGTATGTGAAGGCATACTTGAGCCATGAAGAGACAGAAGGGAGAAAGACTACATATAAATGAAAAGAACTGAAAGACATAGACAATTGCAAATACCAGTTTTCTTAATTAAACAAGAATTAGAGGTGCAGAAGGAAGACCAGAGAGACCTAGTCAATAATGAATAAAAACTACAAAATTTGTCTCATCCACATTCTCCATTCTAATTAGAGGCTATGCTTTTTATTTTTAGAAAGCACCAATAGGCAGCCTATCGTCTGTGTGTCCATGTCTTATTTTGAAATTTTTGAATGTATCACCCCTGAAAATGTGCTCTGTCTCATCAGTCTCTTGTCCATGCAATGAACAATCTACTGATCTTCATATTTCCCAGGTGTATCAAATGCAAACAAACTGCTACATTTCTTGGTCCACAAAGCCAACTATTTAATATAAAAAACCTGATTTCTCAAGTGTTAGCTATTGCTTCCTCTTCTGTGTCTTCTTTACAACTGAACAATCTCTTAGCTGTGGTAGACAGGTGGGTTTATCCTCAATGCATGTGCCACAGTCATTTGGTGGTGTATGTTTGGCAAAGTGCTGAATGTTTAGAAGTTTGGAAAGGGAGATTTTGAGAATTGCTAGTCTTGCACCATTCATCTTACCTTCATAAAGTCTCGGGCTTGGTGTCAGTTTTTCCAGGCATTGTTAGGAAAATCTCCTATCAGAAGACCTGGAAAATCCCTATCAGTCAGTATCAACAATACTGAACTAGTTAGACACAATGATGTGCCTTATGTTTAATGTTATATACTGTATAAGCTCAGCAGCCTACATTCTATGTTAAGCCATTTCTGTCCCATCTCACATTCTTCCCATTTGTTTTCATGGCACAGCTTTCAGTAGTCACCACCAAGGCTGATACATGTGCATGTTGTTCCTTTCCCTCTGGCCTTCATGTTCTCTCTCTTCCTTTTCTTCCAGCAATTCATAGCCTTGCTGGCATTGTATCACAATGCTTTTAGCTGCAGCCTAGCCATTTTTTCCAAAAAAAGGATTCTGTAAAGACAAGACCCAAGGCATACCTCCAATTATTTTCATTCGCTAGTTTTTGCACAGATACATGCTAGTTCTCTAGGTCTACTGCATTGCTTAGCTCTCAGAGCCAGAATTTTTAATGCCTTGAGGACAACATTCATATCCCTAACAATTGCTGCACTAATTTCAAAGGACAAGCAGCTTCCTCACCACAATGCGATGAGTCATCCTTTGTCCCAAGGATGTTATGATGCTGAGGCAGTGAAATCTCTCACACTGCACCATCATCTAGATCAAGCACAGAGAAAGTGAGGCTCTTAGGCTACACACAGCTCCCAGACCCTTCATTTTGCAAGTTCCAAGTCATCTGCAACAATTTTACAAGAGAAAATGTCTGTAAACATTTGCTTGTACTCTTAACTTGCATTCCAATCTAATTCTTAGACAAAATAATATGGACGTGAAAACTGGAATTTCTCTGACTAATTTTCTGTCAATGTTTCAATCAAAAATCTGAATGTGTGGCCAGTAACATCTGGGCCCCTTCCTGCTGAAATTGCCCATCCTTGCACTAAATATTGCAAATGAAAGAACCCCCCTGCAATTAACAGGGATGTCTCCACCATAAATCTTTCAAAGTGGCACAAGCTGCCAAACAGCTTTCTGTATCTTTCTCAGAGACAGGCTTCTACCATTCACATATAAATATATTTATTATATCCTGAAACCTGAAAAACCAGGCTAATGCATTATGATAGGCCAATTTATCCTGAGTAGATGGTGCATAGGTGAAGCCAACCCACAAATTAAGTAAGATAAAGAAATCATCTTGTTTCTTGTCCCAATATTTATTAAACAGAGAGCAGATGAGAAATAACTGATTTTATACTAATTTTTTTTTTAAAAAAACTCAATTAGATTCCTAAATTTATAATGTTCATAAAATGTCATACCAAAGCAACTTATATGTATGAGGAATATGCCTCTCTTAAATACCTTCCAGAACAGTCTTGTTTCTGTGTTGCTCATAGGAGAGCAATGGAGGCTTAATACACAATAGCCTTGGAAGACCTAAGCTCTGTTCAGGGGTTTTGAATGTAGACTAGGAAAGTATACTAGGACTTTATCAGTCATGAACAGAATATGATTCAGGTCTTTATATTTTCTTTCTCCCTTTACTCTAGTTATCAGAATTCCCCATTTCGAATCCCAGTTCTTCTTACAACAGCCTGTTATGTATTTAATCCTCCTTTCAAAAATATAATAATGGAGTATACAATCTGCTAAATATTCAAGCCATTTTTTTAAATTCCCATTTTCCATGCTCATTTCAAATAATACTCGAACTGAAAATACAACTATTCCCAGCAGGTGGGGGGCAAAGGAGGAGGGAGAGAGGGGAGGGGAAAAATTGCTAGATGCAAGTGGCTGATAAGTATGGAACTGGGGTTGGTAAAGGTTAAGAAAATAAGACATTAGATTGAGTGAAAATGTAAGTGGAATTTCATTATTGAGATTTGTATTCTACTTGTGATTATAAAAATAAGGGGGGAAAGAGAAAGTATACCAGGAAAGGGAATACATTAGCCACCACCCCCACCCCCCGCCCCTTGGATGTTTTTGTTCCTTAAAGGGAGAGTACCTTTCTGAGAAAAAAGCCTCATCTACACTGACAATGAATGCCACAAAATACTGTAATGCTTATCAGTGCTCTGTGGGTTTTTTAATCACCATCTAGACTTCAAACTGGTTCCAGTATTTCCTCTGTAATAATTTGCACAGCAAAACCATTTTTTTCAATACTGGTTTGAAACAGAGGCTGGGTGGCCATCTGTCAGGGATACTTTGATTGTGCTTTCCTGCATGGCAAGGGGTTGGACTAGATGACCCACGTGGTCTCATCCAACTCTATTATTCGATGATTCTGTGATTTTATGAAACTGGCCTAAGTGGTCAGTGTAGATGTACCCAGAGTCTCACCTATGTATGAAAGGCTCTCCATTCATTCAGAAGTAAAACAGTGAAAAAATGGTGTTCTGAATCAAATGAAAAGCCTATTTGTCTCTCCTCTTTACCCTACTGCTTTCCACATAGGTTTTTTTTTTTTTTGGTCATGTCAGGAGCAACTTGAGAAACTGCAACTCGCTTTTGGTGTAAGAGAATTGGCTATCTGCAAGGAGCTTTGCCCAGGGGATGCCTGGTTGTTGTTTTGTTTTTGTTTTTTGTTTTTTGATGTTTTATCATCCTTGTGGGAGGCTTCTCTTATGTCCCCACATGAGGCGCTGGAGCTGATAGAGGGAGCTCATCCACTCTCCCCCCAGATTTGAACCTGTGACCTGTCAGTCCGAAGTCCTGCTGGCACAGGGGTTTAACCCACTGTGCCACCGGGGGCTCCTCCTGCCAGTACAGGGGTTTAGCATAGTGAAAACAGAGCTAAGACACTACCTCTCTTCACATATTTATCTAGCCTATATTTTCAGCACCTTAACAGGACTCTAGATATAGATGCACTGGTCTTCAAGGAAGCTGAGCCATTCCAGAAAGGTGATTCACCTGAGGAGGTTGGTATTTCTACTTGCTTGACATATCTGTGTAGGATTCAGTTATTGTTTCTAACAATGGAATAGGTGGAAGACCTAGTTTCCCATAGTCCTTGTTTCATGCAAAGTATTTACTACAAAGCTGTGAAAGCATGTCGGTAATAGCAGAAGTCAAATACCGCTGAAGGGCTGCAGTCAAAAACCAAAACCAAAAGATAAAAGTGCACAAAGGCATATAACTGCAATTCTAAATCAACAAAGAAAATGTAATGAGTAATATGAGAATATAAGAATTGTGTTATTTATAGATTTGACAAAAGTGATATGAATAGAAAATAATTGCAAAATGAAAACTACAGGAAACATGTGATAAACACCAAGTACACTAACAAGAAATAAATAGCCACTCTGAAATAAATGTAAGCTGACTAATTAAATGTTGACATAGGATTGGACTGATAACAATAACATGAAATTGGCAGTAATTAAAACAATCAGAAATGTGAAATGAGCAATTGACAGTTAGCAAATAGTAACTGAAACAACCAGAAATGTTTGCAAGAACTAGATTTCTAGAAATAATAATAATAATTTTTATTTTTATCATTTGAGAAGCCGGAGAAGACCTACATTGCCAAGCTAAAGAATGCCAAGCCGTCAGCCGAGAGAAACAGCATCACGGCCAGGGATGCCCATGAGGAGCTGCAGTAGGTGCACATCTGCATTGATGGCCTCTGCGCTGAGCTCAGCTAGCTGCCAAAGCAGGTGGTGGCCAAGGAGGCAAAGCAGCTAGTACAGGACAGCAGTCACTGGATCCTGGTCAAGAAGGAGTGGGAGATGGCAGACATGTGTGCCCGCATGCAGCTGGACAAGTACCAGGAGCTGCTGGACATCAAGCTGGCCCTGGACATGGATTTTTTCCACCTGCAGTAGGATCCAAGAAAATCTCCATCCTATTATATGCAGATGACATGGTTCTAATTTCACTTACCCAAATTGGCCTGAGAAGACTGCTCTCTAAGCTTGGTGCATATTGTTATAAAGAAAAGCTGAACATCAACTATAATAAAACAAAGGTAATGGTGTTTGGGAGAAGACACTCTCAACACAGATGGTCCATCAGGGGTCGCCAAATAGAACGATGTCAGGAATTTAAGTACCTTGGAATCCATTTTACAGAAAGACTATCCTGGAAACCCCATGTAGAACACACTAAAGCAGACATGGAGATCAATGCCTAACACAAGCTCCTGGAAGGCATCTCCCAGCCCCACCTTCCTGAAGAGTGGCTGTCACATCCGGGTCATCCACTCCTCCTCATCATCAATGCAGAGTTCGGCCAATAAGTGGAAGCTGAGGGCTGGGGGAGAGAGCCGCACAACTTCCCCCATCATGCTAGGGCCAGCAGAAGAGTTTAAATGGAGGAAGTGGGCCTGGAGGGAAAGTTCATCCACCTCTGCAACAACTCCAGTGAGGACCAGGTGCTTGGAGGACCAGGTGCTGGCTGATCAAGCACCAGAAAGAAGAGGCCCCCATCGTTTATCGGTTCCCCTGAAATTTACCCTGAATTTCAGGGGAATCGCCAGGGCAGATAGATCAGTCACAACCATCCATCCAACATGGTCTGGAAGAACCAGTCTCCTGGAGATTTGGAAACAGCCTCCGCTGTAAGGAACCGGTTTCCAGGCCTTCAGTTTTGGCGCTGAAAACCAGGGTCCTGATGTAGAGCACTGATAAGGACATTGCAGCTGGTGACCTCGGGGGATGGCAGTTGGCGTTTGGCGGGAGAGTTGCGCGGGATTTACGATTTGGCGGGAAGAGTGTTTTCAAATGTGGGGGTGGGTATAAAGGGGATGACCAGCGGCCGCTGGTCAATCTCGGCTTTTGTTATGTCTGAGCATCCTGCAGTAAAGTTTATAATTGATTACGGATCGGAGTCCTGTGTCGTTATTGGGGACAGCTGCTGTGAGCTGACATTAAGCCGAGATTCACTTACACCATCCCGCGGCCGTAGTGAGGTGTCTTTATGGAGGAAGAAGACGTTTTGGCAGCAGGGGGAGAGCCGGTCCCCCCTTTCAAGAATGTGGAGGAGGAACTGGAGAGAGTAGCTGCCTTGGCATCGTCGACTGCTTACGTCCGACCCAATGGGGTGACTCAGAGGCAAGCGAGAGGCCCAGAGGAAGCCGTGAGGGAGAGCAGCAGTCTGGAGTTCCTCTCTCCCCAGAGGATGGAGTACCTAGAGGAGAAAGTGGTGGCTATGGAAACCACCCTCGCTGTGATGTCGAGACTGATGGAGCGTTTGGCTCCCCTGGTGGAAGACCCACAGCCCCGGGGGGAGTCGCTGTGGTGCATGGAGGAGAGGAGCGACTGAGAACCCGGGGCGCGTCCCAAGTCTCAGGCAGGCTGGAGAACCGGGGCAGAGAGTGACGAGGAAAAGAGCGACCCCGGGGAGCAGTGCTGACAACCCAACTGACGCTCCTGGTACCCCCGGTGGGAGCCGGGCATGGCACAGGGTGGCGGGGATTGCCCCCGGAGCTGCAGGGGCCCCAGAGAGACCCACCGCGAGTGCAACCACCCAGCTACCAACAGAGGAGGGAGGAGCTGAGAGTGGAATTTGGAGGCGAGGCGGAGAACCTCGATTTCTTCCTGACTATGGTGAGGGGCTATCTGGAAGACAACGCACCTACCTATAGATCGGAAGCCAGCAGGGTGCAAGCAGTGGGTGCGGTGCTAAGGAGAGGAGCGGCGGATTGGTACGTCCAGCTCCATGCCAGACGCGACCCATGCTTAGGATCCACAAGACGATTCCTAGCAGCTATGGAGGCACGCTTCCGAGATCCGCTTGAGCGTGTCAGGGCGAGGGAAAAGCTGCAGACAATAACCCAAGCCAAGTCAGAGTATGTGGAGGAATTCCAGTTGTTGGCCAAAAGAGTGCCCGAGTGGTCCAGTGTGACTAAAGTCCAAATCTTTAAGGAAGGCCTAAAGAAGGAGATCTTATCCTGGGCGCTACATCGCGACGATCCGGAGACGATCGGTGGATAGTTTGAGCTAGCGGGGCACATCGAAATGACGCTGGCCCAAGTCAAGAGGCATCGGGGATCGGCGCCGCAGCAGATCCGGCACAAGGAGGAGAGTTGGAGACACAAGAGAGGCTTGGCTAGAAAGGAGCCAACGGGGGAACCCAAGGGGCGATGCAGCGGATGTTTCGTATGTGGCCGTTTGAATCACAAAGTGGCCGATTGTTGGCAGCATAAGGGGGGAGGGCCCCCTCAGCCCAGGTCTAAGCCGGCCAGTGGAAAAAGAGCAGAGGAAAGCATCCTTCTCGGGGGCCCAGGGGCGGATCTGGTGAGTCATAGCCCAGGAATGCTAGTATTCCCCGTCAGGCTGGAAGGGGAGGGCAAATGGGCCAGTTGCAAAGCCTTCATGGATTGCGGCTGCTCCAGGAACATTATGGCCCCAGAGTTAGCAGACGAGCTGGGGTGTAAGAGAACAATCTTGCAGGCACCCATAGCCTTTTCCCAGCTAAATGGATCAGTAACAGCCGCGGCGCCAGCGAGGTTCGAGGTGGAGAATGTGCGATGCAAAGTAGGCTGCTGGAAAGGAGAGATAACATTCGTGGTGTCCCCTATGGCTACTTATAATATGATGTTGGGGATGCCGTGGCTGAAAAAGGCGAACCCGCAGGTCAATTGGAAGGAGGGGAGCCTGTGTTTCCCAGAGGCTTCTAAGGGGGAATGCTGCCGAGAGGAGGGGACGGCGCTGTCGGACTGGGTCCAAGATATCCCCCCCGAGTATCAAGACTTCGCGGACATTTTTGATGAAAAGGAGGCAGACCAACTTCCTGCTCAGAGACGAGTAGAGGTAAAGATTGAACTTAACAAGGACGCTAGCCTACCCAAGAGTAGGCTGTACCCCATGTCGGCCAGGGAAATGGAAGAGTTGAGGAAGTACATAAATAAGAATTTGGCCAGAGGATTCATAGAACCGTCCGACTCCCCCTTAGGGGCCCCGGTGCTGTTCAGACACAAGAAGGATGGCTCCCTGATTCTATGCGTGGACTATAGGGGGCTGAATGTGGTGAGCACCACCACCAGTTATCCTTTGCCCCTGACCAAGGACTTACTGTCGAGACTATCAGAGGGGCGGGTGTTCACGAAAAATGACTTGATTGAGGCCTACCATAAGCTATGGATACGGCCTGAGGACAGATGGAAAACGGCTTTTTCATGTGCGCGGGGGCATTACAACTTCTCGGTGTGTCCATTCGGGCTAAAAGGAGCCGAGGGGGCATTTATGCAAATGATTAATGAGGTGCTACATCCATTATTGTATTGCGGGGTGTTCTGCTTTGTGGATGATGTAATCATGTTTAACCACAACCGGCAGGCCCACATCAAATTGGTGAGGGAAGTGCTTCAGAAGTTGAGGGAGGTGAAGCTGTTTGCAAAGCTGCCCAAGTGTGAGTTTAACAAGGAGCAGATAGATTTCCTCGGGTACAGGATCTCGCATGGGGGCGTTGCCATGGACCCCTCAAAGGTAGAGGACGTTAAGGCTTGGGAACCCCCTAAGACGCGCAAGCAATTGCAATCCTTCCTGGGATTTGCAAATTTCTGTCGAACTTTCATAAAAGATTTCGCCCAACTGAGTTGTTGAAGATGAAGGGGAGGGGGGAAACAGCCAAGGTACGATCCCCAGGAGCAGGGTTAGTCTGGCCAACGGAATGTCAGAGGGCTTTTGAGGAGCTGAAGCACAGGTTCACAGAAGATCCCGTTCTAATCCACCCCGATATCACCAAGCAGTTTGTGATTCACTGCGATGAGTCAGATTGGGCCTATGGGGCGGCATTGATGCAGAGGGATCCGGAGGGGGTGTTGAAACCGTGTGGGTTTTTATCAAAAAAGTTCAGCGAAACTCAGAGAAATTGGCTGGTGTGGGAGAAGGAGGCACTAGCGATATTAAGGGCTTTGGAAGCTTGGAGAAAAAGGTATGCCGCTTCTGGAGGGAAGCGGCATACCTTTTGAGGTATGGATCGACCATAAAAATTTGCAATATATCACCTCGCCCAGGAAACTATCAGCGAAGCAGATAAGATGGGCTCAATATTTCAGCAGGTTCGAGTTCAAGCTGAGAAAGGGAAAGCAGAATGTCTTGGCGAATATGCTTTCCTGCATGCCACAGGATGAGGGGAGGAAGCAGGGACAAAGCGGGAGCCTGTTCTCAGAACAACAATTGGGGCATGGCAGTGCAGACCAGAGCACAAGCGAAGCACAGCCAGCGACTCACGGGAGTAGAAAGCGGAAGTGGGGATTGGGAGGAAGAGCTGAAACAGGCATATGAAGGGGATAAATGGCTGGAGAGAAACAAGGAAAAGGTGGAATGGAGAGACGGATTAGGATTCGTGAACAAGAAACTGTATGTCCCTGAAAGCCTGCGGGGAAAAATGATGATAAGGTATCACGATAGCAGAAGCGCAGGACACTTGGGGGTCACTAAGACTATAAAACTGTTGGCGCGCCAGTGTTGGTGGCCGGGGATGAGGGGCGACATGAAATCATATGTATCCCGGTGTGACACGTGTGTGAGAAACAAAGTGCCCACTCAAAAGCCGACAGGGTTGCTGCAGAGGGTGGCAGGGCCTACCAAACCGTGGAGTTCAATCACCATGGACTTCGTGGGCGAACTCCCAGTTAGCTGTGACCAGCATTATGTCTGGACGGTGCTAGATCTATTTTCAAAGCAGGCGCACTTCATCGCACTACCAAAACTCCCATCCACAGAAAAGTTAGCGGAACTGTTTATAAAGCACATGTATCGCCTGCATGGATGTCCTGACCAGATCATTAGCAATAGGGGGGTCCAATTCACAGCAAGGTTTTGGGGAAGGTTCATGCAGTTGTTGGGAGCGGAGAGGAGCCTGAGCTCCGCATTCCACCCCATGACGAACGGGGAGGGGGTGTCGAGCACACGCAACAGACATTGGGGCTCTTCTTGAGGACGTACACAAACCACCGCCAGACTGATTGGGCCGATCTTCTCCCTTACGCCGAGATAGCATATAACGGGACCCCCCACGCAACAACTGGGAGAGCCCCTTTCGAGATAGTTTATGGTCGAGAAATAGCGCCTTTGCCGAAACTGCCAGATTGGGGGGAGGAAGAGTCCTGTGGGAATGAGGAGTGGCCGGATAAGGTGAAGGCCAGCTGGAACGAGGTGGTAAGATCGCTGCAAGAAGCCCAAAGGAAATATAAGCTGTTCGCAGATCGCAAGAGGAGGGAGGGGTACAAACTAAAGGAGGGAGATTTGGTTTGGCTAAGCACCAAAAACCTTAAGCTGGACACCCCGTCTAGGAAATTGTCCCCCAGGTATGTGGGCCCTTTTAGGATCTCCGACAAAATCAATGACGTCATCTATAGGCTGCGACTGCCAAAGGTTTTGGGGAAGGTACACCCAGTGTTCCATTGCAGCCTGTTAAAAAAGTACCAAGGATCGCTCAACAAAGGTCTGTAAT